TACTGCTGAACTGATTTTGCATTGTCTCTTGGAGTTCTTTGGGCTAAACCTGACACCTCCCCCTCGACTCACGGGTGGCTCCTGCTCTGCAGGCCTTTAGGAAGGCGGTTAAGACCTGGCTCTTCCCCCAGGCCTTTTGGCCAGGATGAATAGAGTCCCCATTTTTAGGAGGTATAGCTCATTTCAGCTGCATTTGCTATTTGTTCTCTAGCTGGTTTTGTTGGTTTTGGCATTTTTTCTTTCCTTGTACAACACCCTGAGTCACATGGCCTAGGCTGAGTGGCCGTATAAATGTTTTATAAATTTCAGTTCCAAAGTGTGATTATGGTTCCCATTTGTAGTTTTATGACACTCATATTGCTGTGTATTATAAGAATGCTTAAGAAAAAGGACTTCAGCGGAATTGCCATGCATACTTCGTTACTAGATACGTAAGTATGGCTATGAAGACTTGGACAAGATGGAAAGCCTGAGCAAGCTTCTGTACTTTTAATATTTGTGCACAAATGGGAGCCTTATTCTACTTCCCTTTGGCTATCATAACATGGTGTCCATCTGTTGTTTACCGTGGCTTGGTAATTAATTCTTTATTGTTACAGATGTGATTGATAAATACTAGACAGAAACTATGCTGCAAACTCAAATTGTAACTGACATCATTTTATGCTTGATTTGATGCTCACCTTTTCCCAAGCTTTCTTTGTATTTTCTTCCTTGCTTTTTGTAGTCGAATTATTTTATGTTGTCATTTTTCACCTTGCTGGTTAATCTTTTGGAACCATCAGGATTCCACAACTCTTTCCTGTAAGATAGAACATTCATTCGAGGATGGGGGAAGGGCCCCATGTGGCAAGCAATCCAGATGCAGCTCTCTGGATTGTTCCAGAGGCAGCCCACGAGTTTAGCTTTGTGTAGTGATTCCTTTTAAATCCCTCTCTTTGTTTCCTCCCTCTGCCAGGAACAGAACTGTGCTAAACAAAGTAACTTGCTTGTATGGTACATTAGGGACAAAGCACTTAATGCACTGTGGTTTAAGCGTGAATCAGCCCCAAGGCCACCAGTTAGTCTTCTGGGTGCAACTGAACTTACAGCTGTAGACCCTCTACAGGAAAAGTTGCATACCCTGACTTTTCTTGAAAAAGAAGAAAAAAAATCTGTCTCACAAAAAAGTGTATATAGTTCTTAGCAACAATGTAACTTTCCTTTCTGTGAAATACATACAGGTAGTCCTTGTTTAGTGACCGTTTGAAGTTACGACGGTGGTGAAAAAGTAACTTTGTGACCAATCATTGCATTTACAACCTTGGCAGGTCTGTAAAGCAAAGGAAAGCCGAAGTAAGATCACAAGCACAGTTGCAGTTTCACTTAGCGAGTGCTTCGACCAAGTTGCTGGTTCCAATTGTGGCTGCTAAATGTGGACTACCTATACATACTTCCAGGAAGAGCACACAAGTATGAATATTCATTGCTATCAACTTGCCTGCCCTTTTAGATCAAAACTGGAGGCCCTTCAAAAGGAATACAAGGAAACTTCTCCAATGGCTCCATGCCTCTATAATCTGTTGCCATCTGGGATCTGTCAGGCTTAAAACAAACAAGCTTTAGGGGAAGGCCTGAAGACATATTTGTTCCATTTAGCCATTTCTTTAGTCAGTTTTATTGGACATTTTTATTTTAATGCTGTCTGGCTGTTTTAATTGCTAGGGTCTGAGGAATTCCCCACACTGCTATGGTTATGGTTTCATTTTTTTTCATAGTATTGTTGTTTGAGTTTGCTATTGTAGCTAGCTTTGGAAGGCAAGCCTCTAAATATTTATTTATAAATAAAACTTGCTGAAGCATGATCATAACAGCTCAATTTCAGACTAAAAAGGTTGGGTAAACAGATTAACATAACAAAAAGATTCTACACTGTTGGACCAAGTAACATTCTCAAATGGGGGAATATGTAATCAAAGAACAGAAAGTAAAGTTACACCCAATTTGCAGAAAAACTCAACAGAACCAATCACATGAATAGCATCACATTAGCTGCAGATGATAGTGATGGGTGAAAGGTGATGCATTTGAATGATGCCCTATCATAGCTGTACTCCATGCATGCTGAAATTCCTCCATGGCTTATTTCTTGAGCAGGCACAAATTGGCATTGTTGAGAAGCTTATTCTACGCTGTTTCTCTTTCCAAGTCTTTAAAAACGGTCTGTTCCTTACAAAAGAAGGAAATCAAAAAGTGTGGGTAGTAGACCATTTCTTGCTCATGAAACACCCTCAGCTGACTTGTAGAGGCAAGATCAGTCTTCCCTGATGGTGCCTTCCAGGAGATGGCCACCAGCTTCATCATCTCCCAAGGCTATGCTACAAAGAATTAGGACAACTAAAGTCCAAGTTATCAGGAGGCATGAGATGAGGGAAGGCTGAGTGAGCTAAAGAGGTGTAAGTATGCTGTACTATAAAGATTTCAAAAGTTCTTAATCTTAAAAGTGAGAATCTTAAAAGTGAGAAAATCCCCACCTCATTATTATTAATAGTTGCAGCGTTCATATTAGATTTGAATTAAGTAACTCAGCAAAAAACACTAACCTCACAGCCAATACTGCTTATTATTCTAAAACAATAGAACAGAACAAACGCCACTAGAATATTTCAATTAATTTTCAAATCTATGGTAAGGTAGAAGAGAAGTAACTGCCATTTCTTAGCAATGAAATCAGCTGGGTTCCACTGAAATCATGTACAACAAAGCTATCAGTGACATTTTGCTGTGGAAAGACCAGTATCTAGCAATGTGTATCTTCTCTCAGGTTTACTTTAGTTCTGGAAAGCTTCACAAGATCTTTATCCACCATTAAAAATATTTTACTTACCATGACACTTGAATTTCAAGCTTTATAGTCCACTAGGTCATTTCAACTCCCAATGTGACATGAAGGAAGCCTGTACAACTAACCATTGTTTTGGGTATTATTCCAGTTTTAATTTTCATTATACAATTATACTAACCCTAACCCTAACTCATTGCTAAATTTGATGAGCTTATTTCCACCATATTTTATATACAGTCTAACTCAGTGTTTCTTAACCTTGTCAGTTTTAAGATGTGTGGACTTCAACTCCCAGAATTCTGGGAATTCTGAGAATTTAAGTCCACACATCTTAAAGTTGACAAAGTTGAGAAACACTGGCCTAAGTTATCTACCATTGCCTAATATATTTTTTTTCTTCAAAGTAAGGGGTTAGATGTTCCTGACACTTCTAGGTCTCTTAGAGATATGTGCAGGAAAGCCCCCTCCTAGTTTAATGCACTGTCAAAGAGGCAGTTTGGGAGAAATGATTCTATGAAAAAGGTGTGATGCAACGCACGCTATGCAGATATTCTGGATATCATAATCAAAATAACTTGACATAGGCCTTATTGCAATGTAGATTGGTACAAGTGAGGTACTAACAGTAGGCTAAAAGTTTCTGACGATACAGGGGCACATCCAATCCCTGAAGAGAGCCTGAATGATTATGAATGAAGATGAACTAATAGCCAATTAAACATGCTTTGCCACTTGCTACTCCAGTTATTAGTATGCTTCTATGATCATCTTTAATTTTATTAATTTATATGGATAAAGGGGGTTGTTTTTCAATCCCAGTATTGGGATGGTAAGAAAGAGATGAAAGTGAGATGTCATGCTTTCAAATTGTTCTTGTCTGACAGAAAGCAGCTACAGATTTGGGCTTATTCTCTTGAATCATCGGGGTATGCTACCTTGATTTGTGGAAACTTCAAAACAAATTTATGGGGACCCACATACATTTTTTAGAGAACATATAATTTAATTTCCATTTGCTTATTCAAATTAATAGGACAAGAAAAGTAGTACAGGTAAAATAGTAACAAGTCTAACAAACTTCACTCTTAAGGTAACAGAAAAAATATTCTGCACTTCTTTCTACATTATCATTCATTTACTACTTACTGCCATTTTAACAATCACTCATATTCCATTGATTTCATAAATAAACATTTAAAAAGTAGATACATTGATTAAAATGTGCCACATCTTCAGATATCTACTAAATGAAAGTGTAGATCTGTTGGATTGGATCCCATTTTACTACAAAAATCAGCATATTAAAATGTAAAGTGTCTTTACAACTTCAGGGAAGGAATTCAGTTCGCTCTATAGAGATCCCCACGAAAGGCATTCCAAATGACATGACTGTAATGCTTTGTGATACTCTCCAGTGTTCCTTTAGTTCCTATGCATGTGGTAACCATTGAGTGCCCAGGGTTGTATTTCTCCACTGCTGAACAGTGCAAAGAAAATGGCTCCAAATAAGTTAATGGCACCAGCAATATAAAACACGATCTGCCACTCTCCTATAGTGTTCTGGCAAAAGAGGAATGCAAACAAGGATAAATCAGTATAGCAGAATCATGCTCAAGAGTGAGAAAAATGCTTTCCATTAAGATATTCATTCAGTATCCTCTTGCATCTCTTTTCTTGTTTTTTTTTCTTTTCATTATTAATCTGATTAAAATTGTTATTCATTCTTCTTTCTCAATATCAGATGTAATTAACCCAGTTAACAGCTCAGCGATTTTCAACTTTCTTAATAAGGGGGAGGAGATTCATACATTAAAGATTATTACAACTAAGTTCACTAACATTTGATATTTGTGCCAGATCATTATATCTAAATAAAGTTATTTATACTCTTAACTTGGGGTTGGTTACCCCCTTAGCGGCCTGGTGTGGCCTCTACTGGCCTCTTGGATCTTTTAATCCTTTTTATCTCTGTAAGTTTGGTGGGGTTTT